TTGAAGCTGTCTAAAACTGCCTCATTCTTGGAATCTCTATGGGCATTGTAGTAGAAGGGATAAGACTGCAGGATTTGGGACCAAATGGCTTAGCTGCATTTGAATCCTATCCCCAGCGTTAGTAATTCTGTGACTTTGACAAGTTACTTAATTTATCTGTGCTTTGCTTTCTAAACCTATAAAATGTCAAATAAATAACATCTACCCAAAGTGGTTACCGTGTCCATTAACTAGTTGCTTCTTGACATTTCATAGGCATGAAACCACAATAGTACTCTTACCAAGGATATTTGATATCTTATTAACAATCGCACATTGATGGATATTTAGATGAACCATGATTGTTTATTCTCATGCATAACGCTCTAATGAACATTCTTCTAAGTACAGCTATACTAATTTTGTGAGTATCCCCAGAGGCTAAATTTTTGAAAGTATCATTTTTTAATCAAAGGTGATCTACATTTTAAAAATGATAAATATTGCAAGAGTAACCATCTCCAAAATTGTAACCATTTATACTATAAATAAGAGTGATGAGGGTAAATTTTGGATTATGAGAAATACTTTATTAAACCTTTTGCCCACACATTAAAAATGCCTAGTTTTTGTTTTTTTGTTTGTTTGTTTTCACAAAGGAGCAGAGGATTACTGGAACACAATATATCTTAAGTAACATTTGTATTATATTATCCATAAAAATCCAAATTTTTTTTCATAACTTCCCCCATTCTCACAGTTCTGCAAGTCTTTGAGCCCTATTTCTCCAGAAAAAGAATTCATGGCACCTTATCTTCATATAATCAGTTATTATTAAATGCAGAAAATAACATTCCACTAGACAGCTACTCATAAAGGTCTACAAATCAGATGTGTCACAAATGTTTATGGAAATTAATAAATCAAGATATGAAACAACTATGTCATGTTCTACAGGTATGGTAACATTATTCCTCAAACCCAGACTGAAAACATTCTCTGACAACTCTACCACATATTCAGAATTGAGATTGCTCAAGACTGGTTTTCTGTAGTTACACAAGAGCCCAAAGGGGCGAAACCACCCTGAGATGGATGAGCCTCTGAGGTCTAGTAATATGTGGCGCGTGTACAGTGTGGGAGAATATGCCCTAGAATCACAGTGGAACTAAATGGCAAACATTTTATAACTTCTGGAAACACATATTTCTTTCTAGTTCTGTGATACAAAGCTAATTTGAGGCTTTGTCACAGATAGTAACATCTGATACAAAGAAGTAACATAGGAATAAGTTGATTTCTATTTATCAACATAGAATTTAAAAAATTTGTTAATAATGAAGAGGCTTTACGTCAGGTTAATAGAAAGGTAAAGATAAATGTTTACACAGGAGAAGTGGTCCATAGCTATATCTGTTCTTCCCACATACAGCAGCAAATATTGTGTTCTTTATGAAGTTTTATTTGCTTTTCATGCTTACTGTTGTTTACATGTTCTAAAATCTCTGCACGATGGAGTATGCAAAAGAAATAAAGGTATCTAAATATTATAATTGGGAATTTTCTTAGAATTATTTTATCCTTTCTAAAAATAGGTTAATATTTGACATTAACATTTTTCAACTTAAAATACAAAATTGTTCTAAAACCAGGAGTTGAGAGTTAAACAGAAAATTAATGCATATATTCATTTTTAAAAAGATTTCCAGAAACAGTATTTGTTTTAGCTAGTTTTATATTTAATACCTTTTAAGCATGAATCAATTCTCTACTTCTCTCTTTACCTGGTCTTTTAAACGAAGATTTTTCTGTAATTACATAAGCCTAATTCTTTGGAAATAATGTTCAGTTAGCATAATTGGCATTATAGAGTTTTAAAATACATTATAGAATATTCTGTCACTAGACACTAAATTGAAATTTTAAAGAAAATGATGGAAATTGCTGTAAGGGAAAAAAAGTAGCCTTTTAAATCTAATTTGTTATGCACTGCAGTAGGGTAATGGATGCAATGAAAGTTCTTTTATTGAGTTCCCATGTCCAAAAGGTATTTAGGTAGCAAAGGATGTTAAGCAGACCCCCTGCTATCCCCCTTTAACTGAAGATAGCAGGAAATAAGGTATATAGGTCTGTGTCCTCCTGATTTTTATTTCCTCAGGAGTACAACTTCTGCAAAGGACACCTTAGGCTGCTTAGCGATCACAAAGGGCACACTAGAACCCCTCGCTGTCTGCTTGAATAGCACGATCTGAAGGGTGGCTGAAGCCATACAGGGAGTTAAATCCTTCAGGTGGGTCTTTTCAAATTCCAATAGTGAGGAGTTACTGGAGAATTGGTAAGGATTTCACTAGGCCCCAGCAGGTTTGAGATCAAAAGCTTCAGTTAAATAAAAGCCTATTGGGAAATCTTAAAACCTCTTTGTAATGTAACTTTAAAAAGTTAATACAAAGAAACCTTAGACTGAAGCCGGTAACAGCATGAACAAAGAGTATATCAAAACTGATTCCATTAAGAGAAAGCGGACATACAAATTCACTTAATTTAAAGAGCAATCCAGTTATATTACTGTGCGAGAGAATAGAACTTACACCATACCATCCAGCCCATTTAGAAGATGTGCTCATTTCTTGCTACATATGCCAGACTTCATTCTTTGTCATTCTGATATGTTTTTTAAACAACATATATATTCATTTTCTGAAAGAAGAAAGAGTGATGTGCATCTAAACTCACTCCTAAAGAAGATACTTTTAAAACAAATTAAAATTAAAGTTGATGGAGACCCATCAGTCAGCTGGTTATCTCTTTTTCATGGTGTCAAACTGCTAATTGCCCGTCCTCCTTAAAATAATAGACCTTCAATTGATATTGATTGGTAGATCATTAATGAGTGCATTAATTATAATGTAATTTTTATAATGAATACTAATCCATTCCTTGGCAAGTCACACCCTTTTATTAACTGAAGTCACTCATTAATGGTTTAGTGGGGGAAAAATGAACTTTATTTGGTTCTGAGGTCTGAATTTTGCATTGGTTTTGAATTTTTCAGAACACTTGTACTGAAATGTCTCATGTACTCAATGTCTCTTAGACTTCCACATTAGGCATGTGAGATGGGTAGCTTAGATACTACTTCCTTTTTTCAACAAATAGGGATACTGGAACACACTTAGCATATAATGTGATCTGGATTGCACAGTCATTTAATGAAAGCTTGGACTAGACAGACCCTCTGCAGCTTGATTTAAGCCTAGAAACTTTTCAACCGGACAATGTCTCACTGGTCTCACAGATTTCAGAATGTAATTCGAGCTAAGTTGCACATAGCTGGATTCATCCCAAAGAACTCTTTTTCCAAGTGGTCATTACTAACAACAAATGTCCTGACATTTTCATAGTGATAGATGAAGAAACTGAGGCACTTGTATTCACATTCAAAATTTCAGTTCCTTTCTCTCTTCTGTTCTTTAGTTGTCTTGTCTTTTACTTTTCCTCTTCCACCTAATTTTCTTTCTTTTGTTTTGCATTTTTTAATAGAGACATGGTCTGGCTATGTTGCCCAGGCTGGTCTCAAACTCCTGGCCTCAAGTGATCCTCCCATCTCAGCCTCTCAAAGTGCTGGGATTACAGTCATACCTCTTTCCTTCACTCAGTGTGTCATCTGATTAATGACAGGAAAATGAGAAAAGGAGAGTGGGAGTTCTATCATTCTCTGTGCATAAGATATGAAAACCTTTACAAAGGGGGCAAGTACTTCCTGAATAAACGATTCCAATACTTTTTTTTTTTTTCCAAGTACTGTCATCACTTCAAAGATATGAACAGGCCGGGTGCGGTGGCTCAGGCATGTAATCCTAGCACTTTAGGAGGTCAAGGCCGGTGGATCACCTGAGGTCGGGAGTTGGAGACCAGCCTGACCAACATGGAGAAAGAAACCCCCCTCTCTACTAAAAATACAGAATCAGTCGGGCGTGGTGGTGCATGCCGGTAATCCCAGCTACTCTGGAGGCTGAGGCAGGAGAATCCTTTGAACCTGGCAGGTGGAGATTGCGGTGAGCCGAGATCGCGCCATTATACTCCAGTCAGGGCAACAAGAGCAAAACTCCATCTCAAAATAAAAATAAAAACAAAAAAAAAAATATGAAAACAGACACCAACTAACTGGCTCCACCGAAAGTGTTACAGTAGGTAGTCAGGCAGACATGAGCAGAGGAGGAGATGCCGCCGCCCTCCCAGGAATGTCAGGTGATGACCAGGCACTTTTTAAGCTGCCTCTCTAAAATAATAATTGGTTGCAGCTGGTGCCAGGGAGCAGTCGTCTCCCATTAGATAGAAACACCTGAAACTGGTGAGCAGCAGCGTCCCGGTAAGATCTCAGGAGTTGGGCGAGTGGGCTTAAGCATACACACTAAGAGGCAAAATGGCAGAGTTTAACTGATATATAACCTTCTAGGAACACCGGACTGGTAAGGGAAAAATGCCTCAAGTCACTAAGAGACAAAATGTCAGAGTTTAAACACTCAACTGGTAAAGGAAAAAAACACCTGAAGTGAGCATGCGCACAACTCCAGTAAACACACTGCAAATACAGCCCCTCCGAAGTGCTGGCAGGCCACTGTGCACGTAGACAGCCCACCCCAAGCGAAGCATCAGGGGAGAAGGGACGCAACCCCTGAAGCATGCCAATGTATAAAACCCCAAGTCAGAGGTCAAACCACACACTTGACTGTCCCAAGTCGCCTGCTTGGCCCTCTTCTAAGTGCACTTTACTTCCTTCTATTCCTGCTCAAAAAACGTTTTAATAAACTTTCACTCCTGCTCTAAAACTTGCCTTGGTCTCTCACTCTGCCTTACGCCCCTCGGTCAAACTCCTTCTGAGGAGGCAATAATTGAGATTGCTGCAGACCTGTACAGATTCGCTGCTGCTAACAAAACAAATAGATGCAATACGTTTGTGACAATTCTGCTTCTGCACATAGTCTCTGGTAAAACACCCTTTAGTGGTGTGTGCATTCTACCTGTAGGGGTGTGCCGTCAAACGTCGGGAATTAGCTTTTATTGATGTCCGTTCTGATGAAATGTTGACTTGGATAGTTGCTCTTTCATCCAATTTGCTATTTGTGATAAGTAAAAAAACGTCAAAGCAGTAATAAAAGGCGTATGTGGTTACTAAATCTTTGCTTCCTGGATAAGCATGTATGAGTATGCATTCTGTAAGTGTATTTACATATATATTCTATGTGAATTACATATATGTTCCTACAAATATAGTTAACCTATGATTGTTGTTAGAATACAAACATTTTACTCTAACACTGAGTGCTCAGTGGAAACTATGTGACTGGCTTATCTTGGATACTCTGGGTACTTTACAAACACAAAAAGACCTTATTATGCCGGAAGTTATTACTTACTTGTTTAGTGTGCTTCGAATTTTTAAATTCATTCCGATGTACCACTGCATATTCTAGTATTTGAATATGAGTCTTAAATTCCAAAAGTTCGAAAAGCACTACTCCAGCAATGACTATCTTGATTGAATGCCAAAGTATTTTTTTGAACACTTGGCACACCATCAGCAAGACTCTGGGCCTTATGGAGATGATATTAAAAGTATATGCCATAAAATCAGTTTCAAGATATTTGTAAGTTTGTAGTGGGTGGAATACCTGCAGAGATGACACACATACTGATGAATTGTTTCATAATTTTAAATTGATCACTGTCTTCTGTGACCCCCACCTTATCTTGCATCTACTCTAACAGAGCATCTGTAAACCTTATTTCATGTGAAATTCATGTCTTTTTCATTTGAGTCAGAGATTGTCTCATTCATCTGTTTCTTTAGTGACAACCACAGTGCTAGACACACGATAGGTGCTTAATAAATGCTAACTGATCTATGAAATGAAAAATAGATGAGCCACTGGAGGACAAAATGAAACAGATGATTATGTGTTGAATTTTTTTTCAGTGTCCAAAAGAGAAAAGACAAAAATTAATATCTAGAATTTTTTCAAAGTGAAAATAGCTATTTTCTGACTAATAAATAATACATGCTTGCTGCAAAATATTCAAATATCTCCCAATAATTTCTCTGTTAGAGAAAACCAGTTTTAATGATTTGGTGTAGGTGTATGCTCTCAGTAGCTTGCCCATGCTTATACAGGGTTGTCATTTTTTAAAACAAGGTTGGAGCCATAGTGTGTGTGTGTGTGTGTGTGTGTGTATGTGTGTGTAGTTAATACTAACTAAAAATTAATAATAGATTGCTGATACCTCTCTATGGTACAAATGTTTCTCATTAACTGGCTATTGTAGCCTTTATTTTGTATAATTCATAATGTATTTAAATCTATTGACAGATATTTAGATTGCATACATTTTTTATTCTTATAAACAGTGCTTTCATAAACATCTTTTAACATCTTTGCAAGTTCAGATTTATTTTCTTGGCATAAATTTGTAGACATGAAATGGACTTACAATGTTGAAGTAGTTTGTCAAATTGCTCTCCAAGACGGTTGTGCCAATTTACACTCCCACCAACTGTGCATGAGCCATTTTCCTTATAATCTAAACGGAGTATAATTCATTTGAAAAACATTTATTAATCTAATAAAAAGGTATTTTTTTCATTATTGTTTTAAATCCTAGAGTACTTGGGAACTTTCAAATAAATAAATTCTTGATAAATCACACCTGGCCCACCCAGGGACCATGTCCGGTACCAAACTGACTTCCTTCTGCCAGCCAGCTCCTGACTGGGTTGTCTCGACACCAGCAGGAGATAGGAATCAATGAAACAGTACATTCGTAATATTAGGTTAAAAACACTCAGCAGAGATTGAATACATGCATTAAATCTCAAAATAAAAAGTGTTTGATTACTGACTGTTGTAAATACTTTTCGTCACAGTTGGCCTCTATAAATGTGGATAATTGAGTAAAGAATAAAATATTTCACAAATTAAATAACCCTGTTGTAATACCTATTCTTCAAATCATCGCTGAAGACAATCTACCTCTCATTTTTTCAAGGTTCTAGTCGAATTGTCAAAAATTCTACCCCAAAGCCTACAATTCAACAAGCTGCCAACATAACGTGAGGATGTGAGAAAGAATCTGTAAAGCAACACAGGTGTGTCTATGTAGCACTGGTGACATTAATATGTACCATGTGATATTTCCACAGTCCCAGTATGTCAAAACTTGCATTGGAAAAAGAAAGGGCAGCTCTATACTTCAACACTTTACAATCCTAACCCAAAGTCTAAACACTGGTCAATATTCTTGCCCATGAGTGATGGTAGGATCTTTATTGGAAGGTCATAGAGACTGGACTGCGCATAGGTCTTTGTGGACCTGGTCAGCATTTCCACAAAACCTGCCAGTAGTATGAAACCTTCTATATTTTGAAGGCTCAAGTGTGACGATGCCTAACCCCCTGCACTATTTTACTAGTCACTACAAAAGAAGCTGTGCAGTCGGCCCTCTACACCTGTGGGTTCCACATCTGTGAACTCAACCAGTCAAGGATAAAAAATATTCGGTAAATAAATAAGTAAATAAAAACAATACAATGATTAAAAAATACAAATTTTAAAAACCAACACAGTACAGCAACTCTTTCCACAGCATTTACATTGTCTTAGGTATTATCAGTAATCTAGAGATGTGCACAGGTTATATGCAAATACTACCCCATTTTATGATACAAAAGGACTTGACCATCAGTGGATTTTGGTATCTGCATGGGTCCTGGAACCAATTCCCTTGATACTGAGGGACAACTGTAAGTGTGTTAGTTGTCTATTCCTGTGTAACAAATAAACCCAAAGTTTAGTGGCTTAAAACCACAAACATGTATTACTCCATGGACTCTGTGGATTTGGAATCTGGGCACAGCTTAGCAGGGTCCTCTGCTTTAGGGTCTCTTACAAGGCTGCAATTCAGATATCAGCTGGTGGCACAGTCACATCAAAGTTCAACTGAGACAGGATCCCCTTCCAAGCTTAGTGGTAACTGAGCAGGATTCTGTTCCTCATAGGTGACTGGAAAGAGGGTCTCAGTTCCTCCCTGGCTGTTGGCCAGGGGCTTCCCTCAGATTCTTGCCATATGGGGCTTTCTAACATGGAAATGCACCTCATCAAAGCCAGCAAGAGAGAAAGGGACTCTGCTAGCAAGACTGAAGACATAGTCTTTCATAACCTAATTTTTGAAGTGGCATCCAATAACTCTGGCCGTATTCTATTCAGTAGAAAGAAGTCACTAGGACCAGTCCACATTCAAAGGGAGGGGATTCCAAAAGATCAGGAATACCAGGAGACAGAGAACATTGGGGCCATTTCAGAAGTCTGACTATCGCAGCAATAATTGCTCAGTTGATAAAGGAGTAAAGGACACTGGGAAAGTAGGAAGGATGCCAGGAGACATGATGAGTGAGGAATTCCTTGGGAAAGGCTCATAATACTCTGGTGATGCAGACAATCAACAAACATGGTTGAATCTGGTATTAGCCTCCTTGGGAAAGCGTGTGAAGTCTCAGGTCAAGGTCGTAAAATCATGTATTACTAAGTGAAGACGGCAAAACCTAAGACCAAGACAATAACAAATAATAAATATCTTCAAACAAGAGGGAAATTATTTCACAGCTGATGTAAAAATAGATCACAGTTCTGATTTCCTCAACATGCTGTGTCCATGAACCTTGACAATGTGAAATTAATGACATTCCAAAGACTCTGATTTATATTTACCACATGTAAACATATCCACATGCAGTTATTTGTCATTTGTCAAGCTTAAATTTTGAGTTTTGTTGAGACCATAGAACTGGTGATAATCTAATGTTTGTCCTTACTTTCCACCTATCTCTCACTATGATAAGATAGTTGGTTCAAACCAGATGTATATTTGGGATCATCAAACAAAATACAGAAAAGATTGTTCAGTGATCCAAACAGAGGGGCTCACACTCACAATATTTTTATTAGCATGGCTGTTCTAACAAGTTCAGCTAATCAGCTGAGTGTATGCATGTATGGGTTATATACGTGTTTTTATGATAACAAAAATGAACAGAGATATAGAAGATACATCGTCTTGACAGGTTTTGCTTGGTTTTAATGCAAAAACTTACTAATTAATGCAAGTGTTGCAATCATTTTTATGACATTCCCCAAAGATGGCACTTTAAGGGTTATGCCATATGCTGATTGACAGCAGCCATAATTCCATACAATGAGACTGTATCATATTGTTTGAAGTGAGGTGATATTCATCTCTTGAAACTGATCAAACATACGATTGCATCAAACAGTATTACAATATAATCACGCTGTATGTGGGGACTGCCAAAGTTGATCAACATATTGTACTCTTTTCCCTTGGACTTCTCTAATCGCGGTTGTGACACACCATTGCATTCACATTTTCCTTTAAGAACTGCAGAATCTAAGACAGAGAAAAAAATCTACATAAAATTGTGGTTTGGTTATGCCATGTGAGTGTACATTTGTAGACTGCTTTAGAATTACAAATTTGCTCCCACTAAGATCTCCCTAAGTATACAAATAAAAACCAAGAAAGGCCAAGATAAAAAGATAAGATTCCAAACAGGGTAGAAAATAATTCCAATGCCCTCTATTTTTCTTCAATAAAAAGCAAACTTGGAGTACACGTCTTCTTTCAAACACTTGTCAGTTTCTGAAGCTCCCAATGATTTTTTGTTTTCTTCTAATGTGCTATTTGGCAAAGCCACTTGCTTATTGACTGACCTTGGGACTATTTCTGCTGCAGAACGATAAAGTATATAAGAACCTATTCTTTTCCCACGCTTCATTGCTGCTGTCTTGGAAAGCAGTGTGAAGATGGGCATGAGAGAATGAGGGTAGTTTGGCTTTCTACTAGGTGACTTTCCAGGTGAAGTCCTGAAACACGGTGGCTTTTAAATTGATGTACTTTAGGGATTTCCCTTTTATTATTCATTTGTCCATCCGTCCATCCGTCCATTTGTCTGTCCATCCATCCATCCATCCATCCATCCATCCATCCATCCATCCAGCCGTCTCATAACTTATAAAAGAGCCATTGGGGTATTTTTAGAACTCTGTTGAAGGTAGCTTACAGAGAAACAAGGGGACAAGTCATCATCTCTTCATGCTGACATCCACAAAGATATGTTGTCCATTCTGGTCCCCCAGTGTCAATTCAAGCAAGTCTCTGAGATGTTACCATCCTCTCTAAACCCACCCTAACCCTAACCTTACTATATCCACTGTGAGGCCTCTTAGGCCAAATCCCACTCAGCATTTTTGGCCTACAGAAGCTATGTGACTTGTTTGGAGACCCATCAGGATGTGGGGAATGCAGAAGCTTTCTCAGACTGGTTACCTGAACACCCGACATAATCACCTCTCTCCTACTTCTCCTGTGCTATGGCGA